GTTCTATTTGACACTCCTAATGCTTGCGAGCATTAAGTATTTGTCCCTGTTTGATAAACAATATTTGATAAACAACAAGGATGAAATGATTCCATCAGTGAAATTGAAATTTATATGTGTGTGTGTGTGTGTGTGTGTGTGCGTGTGTGTGCGCGCGCGCGCGTGTGTGTGTGTGTGTACGTGTGTGTGTGCGTGTGCGCGCGTGTATATATACTATTTATATACATAAAAATTTGTACTTTCACGTTTCTGCTCTAGAGGAAAAGTTACATGATTGATATCTAGGAGATGCATTAATTGCTTACTTTAGGAACTCCCTGATAAAACGTAAAGCAAGTGTCAATAAAGCATTGGAGTGTAAAAGAAGTGTAAGGAGGGAGTAACAGAAATGAAATCCATAAGAAGTGAAAATTGGAACGTAAAGGAAGCGTCAACTAAACGTTAAAGAAACATAAATAAAAGATATAGATAAGTTTTTCGGTAAGCACGAACAGAATATTCGTTGAATGTAAATGGAGTCAAATTCTTAGACGAACGTGAAATGTAATCGAGGTCCTTGATAAACAAATAATATTTTAAAATATATTTCATTTATTCGGTAAATATCTAAAAAAAAGTGTTATGCTTTTTTAGAGCCCTAAGGGGTCACTTTGAAAAATTATTTCATTAGAACATTACTGAAAAATCTTTCACTGTCTTTTATCCTAGTCTGTGTGGTTTTTTAAATTCAAGAAGTTAATTCTCGCTAAGTCCCTCTAGTGGTGGTATTACTCAATGACGCTTCGTTTACATTCGCTGTACAATTCAATGACGTTTTAAAATAAATTTTTTTATCTCTATATCCTAAAAGCGTATTTGAATGCTCTGTACTTTTTGCCGAATGTTAGGAAGCGTAGACGAAGTACTAATGAATGAAGTGTTTAGGAAGTGTATCAGTACGCTCCATGCATTCTTTACGGAGCGTATGAGAAACGTTAATGAAAAAAAATGTTTTTTTAACATGTGGGAAATGTGACAGATGTGTTTCGAGCATATTTTACAGAGCGTTTGGAGAGAGTTCGTAGAGCGCGTATGAATATTCAAAACCACTAAGAGTCAATGGAAAGTCAATGAAATGTTTAAAAAACGTTAAAATTCTTTGTTCACACTTCTTTGACACTTCAACAAGCTTTACATTTTCATCAGGGCTGTAGCGAATAATGTTTCTTAATATAAAGTATTACGATATCATTTTTCTTGCTGATGGTTCAAAAGTTAACCGAAATTTATTTCCATATGGTCCAATTGTTTTGTGAGCAGTGCTTTTTACTTCGGGATCGACATATCGTTGATTATGATTTCTCACAAGATGAGGCAGTTCTTTTTTTCATAAGAATTTTTTGAAGAGGGCTTAATGTAGCCGAAACAAGTAGGACAGCATTAATTTTTATGTGATCAATGATTGAAATATTATAATAATAATATTGAGTTATTCGGAAAGTTCGTGCCGCAAAAGATTTAAATTTAATAAATGTATAAACTAAAATTTAAATCTTCTGTGTTTCAATTTTCCTTTAAAATCGGTACGAACTTTCCGGACAACTCAATATAAATATAATAAACTCAATATAAATATAACATCGGTTAAGATCTGTGATTGAGTCTTATATACCCTATATATATTATCTTTTTATCGAAATTTGTTATAATAACTTATTTATTCGAATATTTATGATATGTAAAAGAAATATTCAAATGTTGATTAAAAATTTCATTTGTCGTTCATTTGTCGTATTCCGAGAATGTTCCATATATATTCCACAAAATTTTAATTTTTCCAAAAATTCTAGGTCAGATTGTCCATCAATTTTTGAACAAAATCAATTTTTAAACAAAATATTACTTTAGAAAATAACATTTAATGTGTTTCTACCTTGGAGCCCAATTTGGAAACTCACTTCACAGATCACGCTATTCATAAACGAAGTGATGGAATGTTGCGCTCCTTATATTCTTTTCCAAGTGATTTTTGTTTACAAGTAAATGCTCTTCGCCGCGGCCCTCTGTCGGTGGAGATATACTGCTCGTTCGTTTGCGATTTTCATGAAATTATATAAATACAAGGAATATTCATACAATATTCTGAACATTTCATCGACATTTGCACATTCTATGACGATGTTCTTTAAATTTTATAAGATTTTTTCATAAATTATAATAGAATAAGATCTTAGAAATCGTAAAATAATTCAACATTCATATATAGGGTAATTCATTCAATAACGCTCGTGAGTAGGTAAAGCGGATTAAACTGAGTCGAAAAATTCTCTACCATTGCAATTTTCACAATAGTTAACAAAATATTTACTAAAAATTGCTGAATATTGATTTTCAATAATTTTTTTTACTTTATCTATCAACTTTGCAGAAAAACAACAAAAGACAAAAATTGTTTATTTTCTTATAAAGTTCTGAGAATTTTTTCAGAATTTTTTCAGAATTTTTTATACTATATTTTCTTATTTTGAAAAAAAGTTGATATTACTAAAAAGTTGATAAAAAATTCTAAAAAAATTCTTGGAGGTGAGAATTTTCTCTTGGTGAGAAGAAAATAAATAATTTTTGTCTTTCACTGTTTTTTTGTAAAATTGATATTATTTGAGAAAAAAATTATTGAAGACCAATATTCGGCAATTTTTTAATAATTAATATCTTGTTAATTATTGCGAAATGATAGAGGATTTTTCGATTCAATTTAGTCCGCTCTGCCCACGAGCATTGTTGGATGAATTACAGGACTGTATACATAGATAAAAAATTCTAAAAAAAAATGTAATTTTTTTTTTCTCAACATCACACTTTTTAAAAAGTGTTTGTATAAAAGATTTACAAAATTTTCTAAAAAGTTATAAAATTATATACAATTATAACAATTCTGAAATTCCTATAGAAATTCTGAAAAATTATAGCAGTCATTTGTTCCTAGCAGCAACCGTGTTTCGTCTCTATGACGAGAGGTGCGCACAAACAATCTCGATTATATTCGAGGACAGTCTTATGTGCAAGCTGCAAACGACATGCCAGAAACGATTACTCTGTCAAAACGGAATCCGAGTGCACGACTCGCGGCCATCACTAGGGTCGAGACTAAATTGCCTCGATGCATGCAACGTAGATTACCGTATGCTACCGCTGGCTCCGCGTCCGTAAAATGTCATCCGCGATCAAGCCCGTACCGATGCACCGATCATCGCATACCCAAGAGACCGTACAGACTGGCGGTCGGATTGTCAGTGACTAGAACTGGTCGCGATACTTCAATAACAATTCCCAAAAGCTGCTCTGACCGATGTCCGCCCAATTTCTTGGCCATTGGCTCTCCTTGTTGCAAAAAGAGTCTATCGATGATGGACTTATCCCTGCCTGTTGTTGATTCTGACATCGGCGATCTCAAGTGAGTTGATTTCTTGAAAATAAATATTGCAATATTAGAGAAGGGGGAATTACGAATAAAAAAAGGAAAAGTTAAATAAAACTGCCAATTATTTATCAATTAAAAAAGTCTTTATTCAAAAGATACTTTAGTTATTTATCTTTAAATAATTAAGCTATTATATTACAATAATTAAGCTTTGCTTTATTTAACTTTTTCCTTAGGTATTCGCAATTATTCCAATATCTCCCCTACATCAAGATCATTGAAAAATGCATGATATTTTTAAATTCATGTATAATAGGGTAACTGTCCCTATTAATATGCCTTTTAGGCCCAGTTGCACCAATGTCACTTTGACTTTAAGCGAGACTTAAAATTCTATCTATCTTGTTTTAAAGCCAAAAAGAGACAAAGACAGAAAGATTTTTAAGCCTCGCTTAAAACCAAAGTAACGTTGGTGCAATCAGGCCTTAGCCAATTTGCTTATTACTGAATTAATTATTAAATATTATAGCTTTAATTTTATCTGCTTACAATCAATATCGGCTTTTCAATTATTTTTTTTCTTATAATATTTCTTTAATTTTAAAAAATGTTAATACTTTATAATGTTTTTGACAAAAATAGAAAACATGTTTTTTTGTCCCTATTAGTGAGTCCTGCAAGCAGCAATGGCCCTATTAATGTACTCCTAATTTGTGTGCCTATCATATTTGACTCATATTAACATTTAGTTACTAAAACAGGTAATAAATTTAAGCTAATTTTTATGTTAATATATTACATAAATAATTATTTCAATTATATTTATTTCAAAGTACATTCATAACACAACGTTCTCAGCTCCAATCCACAGGGCACATTAATAGGAACAAGTTTAAAATCTTGCGGTATGTATTCCTGGATTCATATAAATTTCTTATCTTTCGAAAGATATTTAAAATATTTTAATACTCAAAAAATAAAATATTATCTTTGGAAGATATCGTATGCATTAATAATTTAACTTAACAAAAAAAATATTTTTTTTTATTTATTTGTTAGTTTTTTTTCTTTATGACTTATCGAAATACAAAAGCACACTAATAGGGACAGGCACAGTAATAATTGGGACAGTTATCCTACAAGGATTAGATAATAAGTATTCTTTAAATCGAACCTATATTATTTCATGAATGTTGAAAACTCCGCATAATATTGTTGTTAATGTTTCATGTTATGGTGGCTGGCAATGATCATCATTCTGATTACTATGAAAGTGCGATCTATCTAATCGGAGAGTTATATATCGTTCAGATCAGAGAGCGAGTCTTCTGCCAGTCGTCTTGACGAAATCGCCGATAGGAGCAAGGATATTTTGACAAATGGAGGGAGCGCGTATTGCAGTGGCGGATCCTGGACGGATGCTATACCGTCTTCGGAATCCGAACAGAGTGAAACTATCGGTCTAATCAAGGATCCGACGATCAATGCGGCAAACATAGTGTGCCGCGTGCTGGTATTGAATGCATGGCGACGTAGACGTGCCGAGATCGCACAGCTGGAGCAACAGGTGGAACACTTGCACCTGCAGATCGAATTTCTGCGTCGATTGCTGCTCGCCGAGAACGATCGGGTCGGTAGACTGAATAGTGAATTACATCGCGAGAAGTCACAATTCGAGGAGGTGATGTCCCAGCGCGACGCCATCCGATCGGTATGATCAATCAATTATTCTTTAAGTTGTACTTTGCTTTGTTCAGTTGTTTTGTTTAATTTTAGTCCATTAATATTCGAGATTTTTTTTAAAGAACTTTTTCTGAACAATGAAAAACTTTTTTTTAAAAAAAGCTTTTAAAAAGGAATTCACTAAATGAAGTTTGTTAAAGTTTTTTCACTAAATGAAGTTTGCCATCGCTCGGTGGAGGAAACCCTATCAACTCTTTAAAGCGCTGGCGATGCATACACATTTTGCGTTTCTAGTGCGTCATTCTCCTATTGGAACAAACACAGGAGTTCAATGACATGTTTCTAATTATGGGAATGGTGTCATCGCGAGAATGCGACACGTGTTCCGGCAATATGCAGTTTACAGTTTTGATGGAAAAATATATAATATATGCGTGAAATATATAATTTCACGCGTGTTATAATTGTCTGACTATTTATATAGGATAGACAAGGCTATTCTGTCAGTTTCATGATTGCTCCTTGAGAGCACAAATACAACCTTTAAATGTTCAATATATGATGTTTAGAAACATAAACATTATGACGAGGAATGGATGAAAAAACCCTTCGTTTCTTAAAGAAATTCATCGTTTCATGAAAAATAGACAGTATTAATAGAGAAAATGTTGTATGCTATATATGTAGATAGAATAACATAGTTGATCTCGCGCTATATGATACATTGCTGCGTTTGTATTAAGGTTCAATTTTATGCAGCAAAGCTTTGCTGGCGAAATTCCTCCATTCCGCTGAAAATGAAATTAACGTTCAGTGCTCTTCGCTAAAATTTTCTTATTTTTTTCATGGAGCGAAGTTTTGCTGGCGAAATTACTCCTACTATGTCGTGAATAAAAGAGCGTTGAACAGACAATTTAAAAAATTGATCAATCAAAAAATGCTTCGAAATATTTGACCAAGTGGACCAGCAGTCAGCTTTAGTGGATTCGCTCATAATTGGAAATAACAATGTCAAACTTTGAACGAAGCTTCGCTCGCTACGCATTTTTACACGAATCAACGAAGTGGGAAGTCTTCGCCAGCGAAGCTTTGCTGCATGAAATTGTACCTTTAGCGCCGAGACATTATCATGTCTCCTAATACTTCGCGAAGCTTTTGAATTGTATGGTGCTACATTTTCAAATTTTCTTACAAAATCTAAACAGCATGTCCAAAATCGAAACATAAGACATTTTAAAGATATTATTAAGAATTTCTTTTAAACAAAAAAACATTAATGATGTTGTCTCGATTTTGGACATACATGTTATCTAAAAAAGTCCATCCGACGTCATCTGATGTGAAACGAGAGTTATATGTTATTCCTCTATATGAATTTGCAATTTTATATAATTTATTGGCTTTTTATAAAAGACTTTGCAAAAAGATGAATTAAGATGTAACGTAACGAATCTTGTTTAATTTTATATTCGCTCTATTTTTTTAATCCATTCTGTGCTCACTGGAGAAAAGCTATTTCAAAAATATCCAGACGCTCTAGATCTTGATGAAATTTGTATCATCTTTATTAATATCCAAGGTAATGCTTAAAAACGTAAAAGTAAAGTTAAAAAGTTAATTAATTTTAATTTCATTTAGTTACATTTTAGACTTTTAATTTTTTAACTTTACATAATTATATTTTACCGGTAATTATTAACTTTTAATTTGATTTTTTTAAAGTTAACATCAGGGTTGGATAGTTGGTTATACGGATTCCTACTTGGATTATATGCTTTCATGTTGTCGGAGATACGTTTTTTTAATTTTAAATAAATCCAAATATTTCATTTACGTTTAAGCACAGAATAAAGAACCGATCCGTCCTCATGACCTAAAATTACAATTTTCTTGAAAAATACGCAGAAGTGCAATTTATTGCTTTACAGAGATTATTTTTTAATGTCCCAGAATAATCATGCAAAAGTTGATCAAAATCCATGAAATGCATATGTGAGTTTCTTCTTGTTAAAAAAGTTAATTTTTAACTTAGTTTTTTAATTTAGTTAAAAAAAATTTGAAATCATGAAAACAAATTTAACTTTTAACTTTTTAATTATTTTTTTTCATTAATTTAATTTTTAATTCAATTAATGTCATCATGGCTTAACTTTTATCTTAACTAAATTAAATTTTTAAAGCTGTTAACTTTAACTTAATTTAGTTAAAAAAAGTTAACTTACCCAATCCTGTTAATATCATTATTAAATTGTTTATAAATCGTCATTTATAAATTTCAAACGCAGTTGCATATTATTGTGTATTTTATTGTAGGAAAAAGAAAAATTAGAAATTGAACTAAAGCGTGCTGAAGAAGTCTCCCAAGAGCGATCGGTCACTGTGGGAAATTTGAGGAATGAGCTCTTGACCGCACAAGATCAGCTAAAGGCGTTCGATGCACAAATGACGAAGGATCGAGAGAAACTTTTGAAATTACGGGAAGATAAGAGAATTCTTCTGGATAAAGTTGCATTTTCTCTTTCGATTTATAAAATAAAAAATTAGTTGTCTAAGCGGTATCCTCCATTAAACATATCCAAGAACGTCATTCACAGAATTTTTCCTAGGGAGACATGATCCAAGACATAATAATTATAATAATAACCATCAAGAATTTTTATTTTAAACTGTATATATGAGAAACACAATACTAGAAATTTAAAATGCTTATTTTAAAGGCCAAAACTGGCTCTTTAAATAATTCAATCTTGAATTATTAATGTATACTATACATGTACTTGCATATATATCATATAATAGTGTTTTCGAACTGCGCACTTTTTTTTGAATTGTTTTTCCGGACTATAAACGCAGTTAAAACTACTCTAGTAATCGTGAATTGACAAGCAATTTTAATAATTTGATGCTACTCTCAAGCATTATATTATAAAGATGTTAATATGTTAAAAATGTTAATAAATTTATTGCCTCGATGGTCTAATGGCTTCGGACGCTCATACGGAATACAAGGGTTCAAGTCCCGGCAAAGGTAATATTTTTCGCAATAAATTTATTAACAGTTCTAACATATTATTTATAACATATAGTAACTTTATTATAGTGTTTTGGAAAGCTCTCGAGATAAGCTACAAGAATATATAATAAATAATTTCCATTTAAAAAAATATTAATAACCTTGACCTGATTTTTACAAGATCACTTAAAGTCAAGTCCACATTTCCATCTTGTGTCCCCTTTCAAGCCATGCAACTTTCGTTTAAAAAATTTTTCAATAAAATCATCGATTCGCGAGATCGATCATGTCTTAAAATGAAATATCCTATATAATTATAAATAAATTCCTCATTATGTGTATTTATATATGAATGATAATGATTTATATATTTTTACACATTTATTATAGTTAACGTAACTTAATTATATTAACTATATTATAGTTAATATAACTTAAAATAATGTAACTTAATATAATTATACACAGTATATAAAAAATACCGAGATGGCAAAAACTAAGCATTTTAGGAAAAAGAAGTGTTTCAGATAAAAGTCATAGGGTTTTAAAAGATTTGTTTACTGGCGCCATAGCGAATTTTACTTTGGCATGAGATCTCATCGATCTTTTTAATGGAAATAGATTTTTTTAAATGATTCGACTTTCTCTCTCTTATATTTGATATCTTAATATTTGATATACAATTGTATAAA